CCCCAAAACCCCAAAACCCCAAAACCCCAAAACCCCAAAACCCCAAAACCCCAAAACCCCTCGGGCTAATTTAAAAATTGAAACTTGTAGTTTTGGAAGCCGATTCTTGAGCAAACTTCGTTATTAGTAAGATGATTTGGTAAAATTTTTGATAGCAAACTCAGTATCGATGGGCAAATTTCCATTCTGTGCATCAACAATCATTTCATATACTCCTTGAATCTGGGATCCTTTCTTGGTAGGATATAAGAAGTCAGCTGGCTTTGGGACGAGTTCACTGTATCCCCACCAATCCCAACAACCTTTAGGATTGTATGGATACACCTGGTTCTTTATAACCTGAGGGAAGAGGACAACAATATTATTCGCTTCAGCAATTCCAAGATATCCTGTTCCATAGACATAATCTAGGCCGATTTCCCCAATAGTCTGATCTCATCCGTGGAAGGCAATATGTAAATCGCATTCATTTTCTTTACAATTATCAGGGACATAAATAAGACCTGACTCTCCTAAAGAATGGGCAAGTCCGATTTTATATTTCTCTTGACTAAAGGTATACAGGTTTTCTTCTTTATAATCAACCTTTGGTTCCAAGGTTCTATCCAAGATATGCTCTAGTGAATGCTTGGCTCCATCATAATCGCAGTTGCCAATATATGGAGTCTTCAACTTCGAGCAAGCATTGCCGAAAAAGTCAGTAGGGAAAGTATGCTCAGCAGAAATATCATACTCAGTTTTAACGTCGGCTCCGAGTTTTTCAAAAAACTTTTGGGACTTTTTAACAATTCCGCTCCATACTACTGAGTCTCTCTTACCAGAGAAGAAGTAGATTTTAGATTTTATGAGGTTTGATAATTTATCAATTAAACCAAGAGCTTCGTATCCTTCAGCTGCTAACTTTAGCTGTGTTGGGTAAACACTGAAACCAGTGGTCATACAGTCAAGAGCTGTTTGAAGGATCCCCCTTGCGCAGAAATATGGTGGGGCTGCGAATATACCAGCACCAGAAATTATACTGGAGTGAGCTACTACCATCTGGACTGCCATTGCACCTCCTGAGGAAATACCTGAAACAGATACGCTTGATGATGTTTTAAACCCACTGAGATCAGTTGAGTTCTTTGATAAAGCTACTCCGATCAGAGAAAGGAGCATTAGATAGAAAGGAAGGAACTTCATTTCCTAAAAAATTATAATAGTTTTACAATACTAACATATTCAGAGGGGTTTTGGGGTTTTGGGGTTTTGGGGTTTTGGGG